AAACGAGAGAGAGAGAGAGAGAGAGAGAGAGAGAGAGAGAGAGAGAGAGAGAGAGAAAAGAAGAAACTTTGATACATCTCAAAGTTTAAGGACATAATGAACCTTGAACTCCTTCACAGCACTTATCAGCTGTGAGGTCAGCCCTGCATCCTATGCTCCAAGCACTCTATACTTCCAGTGGGTTGTTTTAAGGAAATCCCAGGTGTAATATCACTTCATCCAATAAATACTTGTATCTCTAAAACTAGGGCCTTAAAAACAACCACAAAAGCATTATCATACCTAAAAAATTTTCAATGAATGTTACTTTTTAAAAAAGAAAATGCTCAGGTGGCATTACTGCCTGGGCAGCCTCCTTCCCTCCTTCTCCTGAGGAGGCACAGCAGCATGGCTGCCCCTCAGGGCATAAGAGTAACTGGCAACAGTGGCTACCTCTGTTTAGCAGGGTTTTGAAGTTTACCTGTTGAGAACTGCTTCCTTGTCTCCCAGACGACTTTTAATTTTACTTGTCAGATAGTCCAAAAACAGTGTCCAGATATCCAAACAAGAGAAGTAACCTTCATGAGTAGGCTATGATACAAAAGAAATCCAGACAATGAAATTACTTAATGCAACTGTTGTGCTTAGAAACACATACACCAGAACCGCAAAACCAAAGGCCTACATACAGTCCCTTCTTCAGGACCTCCACTAAGGAGGCTGAGTCAGTCTTCACCAGTGGACCCTGTTAAATCTCACCAGACAAGGGCACCATGGGACACCATGTGAGAGAACTGCTCAGGGATTACACAATGTGCCAAGGAACCCCATCTGAGCCTGTGTGGACAGGCTCCCACACACTGCCTACTATGCATCGACTTTTGAAAAAGCAGCTTGCACTCTAGAGGAGAAGTTCAAGGTCATCAACAGAAGCAGGACACAGCTATGTCTTCTCTTCTACAAACTCACAAAAGCAAATGGAAGCCAGAGTGCCTTCGAAGGCAATAGTCCACACATCTGACTATAAGGAAAGCGACAATGGCAGGTCTTTCTACATAGAGGACTGAAAAGGAGCTGTTGAGTCTCACTCCAGGGTAGTATGGCATTTGCAAAGCTCAGGTATCAAACAGGCCAATAGCAAACTCAAACCAGGAGCTGACAGAAACAGCAAGAGAAGAACAAGTCCTTGTGGGCCCTGGTACCTGGCCAGTCGTCCTTGGCAAACTTCTTAAAAACCTTGAGAATCTATTCATGCAAAATCTAGGAGCCATGGTTTTCTTTCCTTCGATTCTGCTAGCTGACCACCTCACCATGCACCATATCTGTGAGAAGGAAGTTCGGTAGTACAGGCCTCTAATTCCAGCTGATCAGGAGGCTAAGGAAGAAGGACCTCAACCTTACTGGGCCAAAAAAGTTTGAGGTCAGCCAGGGCAACTTAACCAGACAGACCCTGTCACAAACGGAAAATGAAAACAGGACTTGGACTGGAGTGGGATTTAGTGCAAGATATTTTCCCTCCATATAAAAGTCCCTGGGTTTGATTCTAGCACACCCTAAATCAGGCATAATGACATACTCCTATAATCCTAGAACTAGGAAGGACCTCAAGGTCAGCCTCCAATACATAGCAAGTTCAAGGACAGCCTGAGGCACACGATCCTTTCTCAAGAAAGAAAACACATCACAAAACAAAAGAAAAAGAAAGGGTTAGGGATGTCATTCATGCCTATTCTAGCATGTGTGAGACCCTAGGTTCCATCCTTGGAACCCAAAAAAGAAAGAAAAGAAAGAACAGGGCTGGAGCTGGCTCAAAGTAAAAGTAATGTCTGTGCACCCTGACCTCCTGAGTTTGATCCTCAGATCCCATGGTGGAAAGAGAACCAATTTTCAAAAGTTGTCCTGTCTTCACATGCATGTTGTGCCATGTGACTGCACACAATCACATAAACACTAACATTATATACATACACACAAACAATAAATATATGAATAAAATTTTTAATTTTTTTAAAGGAAAGAATACATTAGTTTTTCTATCAGATTTAGTTAATTTTTGTCAACTTGATACACATTGGGAAGAGAGAAACTCAACTAAGAAAATGCCTCCAGCAGACCGAGTTTGTGAGCATATCTGGTGGGGCATTTTCTTGATGACTGATGTAGAAGAGCCCAGGTCACTATGGGCAGTGCCACCTCCAGTAAGCAGCTTTCCTCTATGGCTCCTGCTTCTGACTCTGCTGAGTTTCTGCCCCGACTTCCCTCAGTGATGGACTGTGATGGAGACAGGTAAGCCAAATAAACCCTCTCCCCCATGGTGCTTTTGGTCATGTGTTTATCACATCAACAGAACCCTAACTATTTCTGATTCACAAGGAAATCCAGTTTCCAATGACATGTTTTGAAGGAATAACTAATGAATAAATAAATGAAGAAGGACACAGGGAGGGGGTAACCAAACTGAAATCTCAGGCAGGAAAATTATAATTAAAAATCCACTAAGCCTCAAGTAAGGTAAGTTTGCTCTTTCCTGGAATCCCAGTATTTGAGTCTGAGGCAGAATTACCAACAGGTCAAGGTCAGTAGGGACTCACAATGAGGTCTTGTCTTTAAAAAAACAAAAGTAACATATAAAAAAATTAAAATGAGCCACCAGGGGTATAGCTCAGCAGAGCAGGTATCCAACCTATTTATGACTCTGGGTTCCAATCCCAGGACCACAAAGAAACAGGACAATATAAACCATGCAGAATCCATCCAACCTCACAACTAAAAGAAAGCTAAAGGGACACCCATTAAAACCCTAACACCACCCCGGACTGTCTGCCATAACACCATCCCAGAGAACCATGAGGTAAACCAACTATCAAACTACAGGGAAGTAACAGAGTTGGAAGACTGGCCATTGAGGCTGCCTGTCTACCTGCAGTCTTGTCACAGCGCTGGCTTGCTGAGCTTCCTCAAGTAAGTCACCTCTCTGCCTTTTATAATTCGAGAATTCCCACTGGTCCCCTCAAAAGAATATGACTGATCAGATGTACATGGAAATGTTTTTAAAAAGCTACTACAAACAAAAAGGCCAATTTATGGCATTGCACCTATATACATATTATACTCATGAATGTGCAGATACACAGCGAGGGCTAGAAACAAGAGGGCTTCTCCCCCAGCACAGCCGCAAACACCACCCATCACTCCTGCACCTGATAAACCTACTCTAACAGGTCCATGCACTGCCCATACTGTACTGGCCTTTGACATCAGCCATGGAAACAAAGAGGACAGACAGACTGACCTGACTTTTGGAATCACTCCAATTTTCATTACCCTCCCTGATCCATTTATTTAAAGTAACTGTATTCAGATTTACTGTTCTGTTTCTAGGGCTAACTGATCACTCACAGTCCTGCCAGGCTGCTATAACTGATGACACCAGCCGTGCCTTCCAAATGGTTTAGAGTGGTGATTCTTCACTGGCATTGATCTTACAGCAGCCCTGGAAAGTGAACATTTGTTTCTCATATTTTCTAGTTTAGAAAACCACGGCTCAAAAGTGAAGTTGCCTGCCCGAGATGAGAGGACAACCAAGGGACAGAATAAGAACTTCCAGTCCAGAGCCCTTCCCCTGCACGGTGCCACCCAGACATTGCTGTGGGGAAAGGGTAAGGAAACAAGCCAGGCCACGAGGGACCAGGTGAGAAGACAGAGAGGAGGGCTGGAAGGCAGAAATCTCGGGCTCACAGAGTTACCCCAAGAGGTAGAGCAGCCAAGGAGCGTCACAGAGGAGGCAAGTGTCTGGGGAGAAGCAGCCACAGACCGACAGCAGAGCCCAGTCAAAGAGAGACACAGGAAGGGAGAGAAGAGGAGAAGAAGCAAAATGTTGTATGTACAGTCCCAGAACGACCATGACTCTGAGAAAAGACAAAGCTACTGAGCATACTCCTCGCCAGAGTCCACGTGAGAAACCTTTCGCCCTTCACAAACAAGAGGCTGGGATGAAATAAGAGCACACTGCTAGCCCAGAACTGGACCCTGAGTGCTTCACTGGTTTTCTCAACCCCCCCTACACACACACACACACACACACACACACACACACACACACACACACACACTGCACTCTGCCCTCATCTTGAGTACATCGTGTGCTGTATGGTAGTCTCCTCCTTCTGACAACATGATACCATCTCGGAGTAGAGATTAATTTGGCCTGTGCCATAGTTAGGTTTCTTTTGCTATAATAAAACACCATGACCAAAGCAACTTGGAGAGGAAAAGGTTTATTTCAGCTTATAGTTCTTAGATTACCCTCCTCCATCATTGAGGGAAGTCGGGGCAGGAACTGACTGTAGCAAAGGCCATGGAGGAAGGTTGCTTACTGGCTTGTTCCTCCTGGCTAGCTCAGTTCATTTTCTTATACACCCAAGACCACCTAAGCAGGTAGGACTACTCACAATAGGCTATGTCCTACCATATCAATCACCAACCAAGAAAATACCCCACAGGCTTGCATACTATAGACTGATCTTATGGAGGCTGTGTCAAATTGATGAAAACAAACAAACAAACAAACAAACAAAATCTGGCCAGCACAGCCTCGAAGTTGTCACAGTTAGCTTCAGCAGTCAACTTGACACAAACCTAGTCACCTAGGAAAAGGGGAACCTCAAATGAACACTTGCTCAGATCAGCTGGCCTGTGGCTAGGCCTTCGAGGCAATTTCTTAATTACTGATTGATGTAGGAAGGACCAGAGCAATGCCACCCCTAGGCAGCAGGTAAGGCTGGGCTATGTAAGAAAGGTAGCTGAGAAAGCCAATAGCAGTGTTTCTCTGTAGTTTCTGCTTCAGACTCCTGTCTTGAGTTCCCACCTTGGCTTCCTTCAATGAATCTATAACCTATTCTTTCCTATGTTTCCTTTCCTCTCCATGCTGTAGTCACGGTGTTTATCACAGCAACAGAAAGCGAACTAGAACAGTAGCCATGGCTACTAATGAGCAGAACAATATAGTGACAGCCAGGTCTATAGCAATGGAGCTATGGACATTTCCAAGCAGCTAGAGGGGGAAAAAAGTCATAAGACCCTTACCTGGGAGTCTAGCCTTTACTCCCCCTCCCACGCCCCACCCCCACACAGCTGTAAATGATCTCAGAACATGCTAGAGTATACAGGAAGTAAAATGCTAAATGAAAGGGAACCCTATGATGCAGCTTCCATGTGGTCACTATCCATGATGGGGTGGGAGTTTACAGTGATGTAGTTGTTTGAGGGGTTACTCATGCTCCTGTAAAAACCTATTGCCCATAAAACTGTAGTCAAGCTCAGTAAATCCATAGGTTCACCAAACTGACTTTGGTGGGATCATAACTTGTCTGTTGCTGGTGCTCTATCTGGGGTGAACAGACATTTGTTCACGTCTCCCGGGAAAAGTGAATGCTCTGCTCTGCTTCTGCAGTAAGCCAGCCCAGAGCATTTGCCAACTCGGATCCCTCAGCTTGGTGCTCAGCACAGCCCATAGCTCAAGCTCACTCTCCCACAGTGGGTCAGCTTGCATCTAGAAGGAAGGTTCTCATATGGGAGGCCCGGAGAACAAAGCAAGCTGGAGGACAGCGATCTCCAGGTAAGGGAGGGAGGAGGCTTGCTTGCTTCTTGACCACTCCTCTGACTCTTTTCCCAATTGTAAATGACGTATAAATATGTGGAACTGTCACCTTCAGTTCAGTGGGAAACACATACAAGTCTACTAAAAGATGCACACTGGGGATGGCCCTGAATCATCCCCACTCTAGTCCATCTTCTGAGGTAGGGAAATTGAAAGAAATAAAAAAGGGCTGTTGTAGTGGGTAGCTGTTCCAGCTTTGTCCTGGAAGTACCACCCCCATTGAGGCTTCAGTAACTGTCACACCTTCGAGGCGGGGCCGAGACAGGAGCCCTTAAGACCCGAGATCCTGATGTACTGGCTCTCTTGGTTCCTGGATCCTGGACACTGGAGGGAGACTGAGCACAGTTCTCCAGAGAGCATTGCTGGACTGCACTTCACCTCTCCCAGACTCTGCAATCTATCCCTTCACTTGTAAGTTACCCCACAAAATAAACCTCCCTTTTAACTACAGGGAGTTGCCTTAATACTTCCACCAACAGGTTGTGTCAGGGTACAGACTGAACAGAAGTCACCAGAGTTTACACACAGAACTGGGTCCAAGTGAGTTTAAGACATTATTGTTCCTTTTGCCCATATAAGCCTTCTTTTCCAAACTCAGCACTGGCTCTTTATCCCTTCTTCCTGCTCCACTCACCCTACAGTCTCTGACTAACACTCGATCCACTTCCTTCAAAGGCCTCCAAACTTGCTCACCATGCAGCTGCTCTCCTCTCATCTCCTCATCAGCTCTTCTGGGCTCTTCCCATCGGGTCTGGTGCACTCAGCATGTTTTCCTTCTTGCTCTGCACGAGCTGGCCCCTCCACCCTGACCAGTCTTCAGCTTGGGTCCTCCTCTACGGCCTCCTGCTCCATTGTCTGCTCCCAGCAATGGGTCACCTCACTGCTACCTCTGGGTATTCCAGTTTTCACACATCCTGACTCTCTTTGAGAAAGGCTTTTTTCAGATCAAACATTTGCTTTTCATAAAGCACTCCAGCCTAGGCCCTTCCATCTTTTAGCCCCATTAAACTGGAAAGCTAATTTTTTTTTTAAGTCAACTTTTTCATATCAGATGCCTTCATTCCCAGGGATATACTAACAGAAAGAGCTACCTGATTACATCAAAAAGTATGTTCAAGAACATGCCAGGTAGGCTGGTTACTTAAACTATAATCACAGTCCTAGAGAGGCTGAGGCAGAAAGATTTACCAAACATTCAAGGCCATTCTGAGCTATGTAGAAAAATCTTATTGAGAGAGAGAGAGAGAGAGAGAGAGAGAGAGAGAGAGAGAGAGAGAGAGAGAGA